CATGGTCCCTCTGGCCACCCTGGCCCCCCCCTCATGGTCCCTCTGGCCACCCTGGCCCCCCCCCTCATGGTCCCTCTGGCCACCCTGGCCCCCCCCCTCATGGTCCCTCTGGCCACCCCGGCCCCCCCTCATGGTCCCTCTGGCCACCCTGGCCCACCCTCATGGTCCCTCTGGCCCCCCTGGCCCACCCTCATGGTCCCTCTGGCCACCCTGGCCCCCCCCTCATGGTCCCTCTGGCCACCCTGGCCCCCCCCTCATGGTCCCTCTGGCCACCCTGGCCCCCCCTCATGGTCCCTCTGGCCACCCTCATGGTCCCTCTGGCCACCCTCATGGTCCCTCTGGCCCCCCTCATGGCCACCCTGGCCCACCCTCATGGTCCCTCTGGCCCCCCTGGCCCTCCCTCATGGTCCCTCTGGCCACCCTGGCCCTCCCTCATGGTCCCTCTGGCCACCCTGGCCCTCCCTCATGGTCCCTCTGGCCACCCTGGCCCTCCCTCATGGTCCCTCTGGCCACCCTGGCCCTCCCTCATGGTCCCTCTGGCCACCCTGGCCCTCCCTCATGGTCCCTCTGGCCACCCTGGCCCTCCCTCATGGTCCCTCTGGCCACCCTGGCTCCCCTCATGGTCCCTCTGGCCCCCCTCATGGTCCCTCTGGCCACCCTGGGCCCCCCTCATGGTCCCTCTGGCCACCCTGGCCCACCCTCATGGTCCCTCTGGCCACCTTGTCACCCTCTGGAGCATACTTGGGGTGTGTTCTGGGAGTTGTTCCTACTCCCCGAGCCCGGTCTGAGGCCAAGCTCGACTTGTGATAACTTGGTCCAACAAGCATTTGCTTGGAGCGGCCCGCAGGCCCACATATCCACTACAGCCAGGTTGGTCCAGCACTTCTTGCAAGAACGTATCTAAGTGCCTCATGAATACATCCACCTTTGTTCCAGCAATATTTCTAATGCTTGCTGGGAGGGTAAGGTAAGGTAAGGTACCTTACCTCAAGGTAAGGTAAGGTTCCTTACCTTACCTTGTAAGGTTCACAAGGTAAGGTGGACAAGGTAAGGTAAGGTTCCTTACCTTACCTTGTCCAGTCAGTTCAACAGTCGGTTAACAGTCCACAGCTGTTCAACACCCTTACCTTACCTCAAGGTAAAGTAAGGTAAGGGTGTTAAACAGCTGTGGACCTCTGATGTTCAGACTGTGTTATCAGATTGTGTCGATGACACCTCTATTCTTCACTGGTTCTATACTGCATTTCCTTCCGTATCTTTCGCTCCAGAATGTTGTTACTCTACTGTGCAAATTTGGAACTTTACCTTAAAGTATCTTCCATGTATATATTATTTGGTACCTTTCTCGTCTCCTTTCCAAAGAGTACATTTTGAGAGCTTTGAGACGATCCCAATAATGTATTGTTTTATCGTGTCTATGCGTGCCGTATATGTTCTCTGCATTCCCTCTAATTCAAAGATCTCTCCTGCTCTGAAAGATGGGAAGTGAGTACCGAGCAATACTCAAGACGGGACAGCACCAGTGAGAGAAATAGTATTAGCATTGCTGTGGGGGGGGGTGTCTGGATTTGAACGTTCTCATAATCCACCCTATCATTTTCCTGGCCGCCGCTATATTTGCTCGGTTATGTTCACCAAGTGTCGGGTCGTCAGACATCATTATTCCCAGATACTTTACATGTTGCTTTCCTTCTATGAGTAAGTCTGAGTGTCTTGTACAATGTTTCGTTTGTTCCTTGTTTCCACCATACCTCAGTACCTGGAACCTATCACCGTTAAACATCATGTTATTTTCAGTTGCTCAATCAAAGATTAGTAATATCTGCATGTAGTTTTTCAGTATCTTCTACAGAGGAAATTTTCATGCTGATTTTTGTATCTGCAAAAAATGACACGAAGCTGTGAATAGTATTTTTGTCTATATCCAAGATAAGAATGAGAAATATCAGCGGTGCAAAGACTGTGCCCTGGGGTACACAGCTTTTCTTTGCACTTGGGCCTAATCTTATTTGATTGACCGTCACTGCATTCTGTTTGACAAAGTTGAAGATCCAACGCCCTACTTTACCCGTTATTCCTATTAATTTTTTTATATACGCTGTCTCTATGGTCACATTTATCAAATGCCTTTGCAAAGTCTGTTTATACAACATCTGCATTTTGCTTTTCTTCAAAGGCTTTTGTGATTTTGTCATAGTGGTTGAGTAACTGTAACAGACAGGATCTTCCCGCTCTAAATCCATGTTGTCCTGGGTTGTGTAGTTCATTGTTTTTCATAAAACTAGAATTCTGATTCCTAATCATTCGTTCAAAACCATGTTAGTGCAACTGGTCTAAAAAATTTGCCAAATCTTTACTACCTCCCTTCTGCAGAGGAGCTATATCTGCTGATTTGAGAGCTGCTGGTATCTTCCCTGTATCCAGGCTCTTTCTCCATATTACTCTGAGCGCTCGCGCTACTGGTACTTTAAGTTCCTTTATGAATATTGAATTCCACGAATTCAGGACCAGGGGCTGAGTGCATGGGCATGTTGTCTGTTTCTCTTTCACAGTCTTCAGAGTTCGTGTTAGTATCAGTTATATTATCTGCAGCTTGGATGTCATTCATAAAGAAGCTGTCTGGATCTTTTACTTTCATCTTATTTGTTGGTGTGCTAAACATACTCATACTGGCTTCTTAGACTTTCACTAATTCTTTGTTGTCCTCTGTGTACGTACCTTCGGTTGTAATTGAAGGTCCATTACTGGTGAAAAAAATATTTTGGATTTGTCTCTATCTCTTGTATAGCTTTCTGTTCCAATTCCATTTCCTCAGACTCGTGTGATCGCTTCAACTTCTGTATTCCTTCGATCTCACTGTTTAGATATATTTAATTTTTTGTGATAGTCGTGTCTGTTTAAGCATTTCCGTAATTTTTTTTACTTCTGTACAGTCGTCTGCGTTTTCTTTCTAGGGTAGACCTCTTTGGAAAAATAAATATAAAAGATTTGTGAGTAGTTTTTTTAGAGAAAACTGGACGGTTTTCTAAGAGAAGTTCCGGATCAGCCGGGCTGTGGTGGGTATGTGGCCCTGCGGGCCGCTCCAAGCAACAGCCTGGTGGACCAGACTCTCACAAGTCGAGCCTGGCCTCGGGCCGGGCTTGGGGAGTAGAAGAACTCCCAGAACCCCATCAACCAGGTATCTTCAACCAGGTATCAACCAGTCATGTCAGAAGCCCTCAAGTTTTAAAAACACAACAAAGTAGCTGTCACAGCTACAAGAAAAAATGGCAGGTTGAATAAGAAGAACCTTTCAAACAAAAGTCGCCGTGCCAATGATACTTTTTAAGACACTAGTGCTCTCAGGGTGCAATCTTGTTGGACAGTAACAGCCCATTCAAAGCTGGAGAAATTGCTTTCGTGGGGAGCATGTAAATTACCTTTACTTCCCGATTCTGCTCAAATGTCTAAATTATTGGGACCGTTAACAACTTTAAACCTGTATCATTTAGAGCCCAGGTGAGAGAGATTCAGAACATAATAATAAATAAATAATAATAATAATAATAAATGCAGAGAAGGATGAGCAAAATAGCCCCGTTGAAAAGCAAAGGTGAAATAGCTACGCCGAGAGAGAACTTTTGTCAATATAAAAGGCTCGGCACTTTCCCTCTATGCATAAGGGGCATAACTGTCCAACCTTACGTTGTTAAAGCTGCGAGAAGCTGAGTCCAGTTGCGTCCAATAGTCTGAACTCTGGAACAACCAACAAGAGGTAGTCAACAGGTAGATGCAAAGTACCGCCATAGTTACTATGAAAAAGTGCCTTAACGGAAGTTAAGGAAGACCTAGACTGTGCCTGCCACTCTTGCTCAAACAAGTGAGCAGCCGCACCTTTTGGCCCCATTGGGCTACTCATCTGCGCACCACATGACCAGCCCAATGCTCATTTACATCTCGTGCGCTGCCTAGTGTAAATCCCGTAAACCAGCTTTCGTAAATCACGCGTGTTTACCACCACGTGGTAAACACGTGTGATTACCACCCACCCTTAACCCCTGAACTGAAGCCCTCCAAGCCTTCTCTCTTGATGGTCAGCATCCCTCCAAATGGATTACCAAAACCGCCACTGAATGTATTATCTCTATTGAACATTGATAGAGAGGTGATAATATTTATCACCTCTTCCAAGAGAGAGAGAGAACAACGGCACTTTCCTGCCCCATGGGAGGTCACCCTCTTTCCAAGTTACTGTCCCTCCTTTCCCACCCAAGAAGCTGATTAAAGAACAAGCCTTGCTCCGTCAAGAAGCAAAGTACAATGCCTTAAGCCAAATTGACGCAAATTGATGCATAATTGGGAATAATGATATCTGACGACCTAACGTTTACGACTCAGTCCTCGACCAGGCCTCATTTTTATAACCCCCCCCCCCCAGGAAGCAGCCCGTGGCAGCTTATCTAACTCCCAGGTACCTATTTACTGCTAGTTGAACAGGGCATCAGGGTGAAAGAAACACTGCCCAATTGTTTCCGCCTCCACCTGGTATCAAACCAGGAACCTCAGGACTATGAACCCCGAGCGCTGTCCATTCAGCTGTCAGGTCCCTTATGTAAGGGACATACATAACTGGCCGACCCCTCACAGTGTTCAAGAGAGAACTCTACAAACGCCTCCAAAGAATACCTGATAAACCAGGCTGTGATTCTTACGTCAGGCTGCGAACAGCCGCGTCCAACAGCCTGGTTGACCAGACCACCAACTATGGGGGGCCTGGTCGGAGACCGGGCCGCGGGGCTGTTGATCCCCGGAAGGTACACAAGGTAGACACGATGTAGGTGTGCGTGAGGAGCGATTGCTTGTGTGAAATGTATAAGTTTTAAGCACTTAATTCCAAAGAAGAAAAATAAAGGTATCATTAATATTTGTACATTTGGAATTAATATTTTATATTGTAGCATAAGATGTAATGATACCACTTGGATTATGTATCTTAACACACTTCTGTTTTGCTCTTTCAGGTTAGCAGAAGAGTAGAATATGGACAACAGGTAAATATATTTTTGTATACATTCACTGACAGTTAATTGGAATTGCATGAAATTTTAAACAGAAGTCAATGCATGGTATGCTTGGTGGGGGGGGGGGGTATTGTGTAGTTCGCAAATTTTGTGGAACCCAAATTATTCTATTCTATAGTACTTCGGTTGGAACTTGCGCTCATAACAGAATTTTGTGAAATACTAAGAACACGGTACGACAAGTTTGTGAACCCTTTAACACCCCGAAGATTGATGACTCTAATTTTTAATGGACCTAACCTCAACCTCAATTTGTATAGCAAATGTCACCCCAATCCCACTGAATTTTGAAGTAACCATGAAGATAATACCCATGTACCGTGTTTACTTTGCCCAGACTCCTGAAATTCTATATTCATAAAGAATCACAGGGTCCTAAACTTCCTAGTAGGCTTGTACTTACAAACCGGTGACATCCCCAACACTAAAAACAGAGATCGCGACTCCCAATCATGTGGAGGAAACAGCAGATGTAAAAATCTGTTGCTCGGTAGTACTAACAGCATGCATTATTGTAATGTTGTAAACGTTAGATTACAAATTGCAGTCACGGTAGCCTTGGCCAACCTGGGTTTACAATGTTTAGAATAGGACGCTTCTGTCTCCTAGAATTCTTCAACCACTACGGCATGGACTTAGATGCCACAGAAGAAGAGAAAAACGCCGATGTTATGTACTGACTATGCAAAAGTTTTCGACAAATGTGACGATGGTGGAATTGCACAAAAAATTAAAACGAGGAATACCTAGCAAGGTAGAAAGACGCAGCTTAGTCGCAGCTTCAGTTTCTAGACAAACCAAAATCACCCGCACAAAAATCACAAAGTAAAACGCCACCACTTCGGCAAATACGATATCATTCGTATTTGTCAACATTCAGGGTATCAAAACATTCACACAACAAAATGTCCTCTCTATAACTGATGCTAATGAGGGAGGTTAATGTAGCGTTTGCAGCCATAACTGAAACTCTCACAGAGGATTACTATTGATAGTGGAACAAGGATACCCGAGTACAATCTTTTCAGCTCTGACAGGAAACACAGGCTACAGTGTGGGGTCAGCCTGTACATCACAAACACTCGTCTGTACTGAGCTGCTAAACACCACACACCATATGGTGAAAGTGCTGATTATCGAAATAGAGATCCTAAATGTATTTATTGTCCTTCTATATAAGTCACCGGAGCAAAGCCTTAGCAGTTTAAAGACCACTTTGTGGTTACCTTGTGATGGTTTCGGGGCTTAGCGTCCCAACGGCCCAGTCCTCGCCCAGGCCTCCTCGTTGCTGGACTGTTCAACCAGGCTGTTGGACGCGGCTACTCGCAGCCTGACGTATGAATCACAGCCTGGTTGATCAGGTATCCTTTGCAGGTGTTTATAGAGTTCTCTCTTGAACACTGCGAGGGGTCGGCCAGTTATACCCCTTATGTGTATAGCTAATTGCAGTGGATATGTGGGCCTTCGGGGCCATTCAAAGCAACAGCCTGTTTGGCCAAGTAATCACAAGTCAAGCCTGGCCCAAGGCCGGGCTCGGAGAGTTGAACAATTTCCGGAACCCTCGCCATGCATCTCCGGGAAGTTTGAAAGGGTAAACATAGGCAAATCCCAATTTTCGAAAAAGGATAAAAATAAGAGTTAAATTACAGACCATAGACACTCGTGGTTGTCAGTATGAATTATTACAGTGTACAGATGTGTGGAACCAGACCCTCTTAATAGTTGATTGTCTCAGACCCACAGTCGATTGACCTTGGCTTAGTGACGCCAGCCCCGGCCCCTCCCAATTGACGCCTTCCCCCGCCCACCCTCTTCCAGAGTTGACAAGGACCCTTCACCAGTCAACGCCTTCTTCAGCCCTGATTTGACGCCTTTTTCCCTCCACTCCACTCCCCCCCCCACTCCACTCCCCCCCCCTCCTCCCTCGCCCAGATTGTACACCTTTTTTTCCGCCCCGATTTGACGCCTATCCTCCCCCCATTCAATTTGACGCCTCTTGCATCAAATCCTCCTATCCCCTAGCCTCGACCTGACTCTTCCTTCCTTTTCACCCCTGGCGCCTCTTCCTCTAAACCGCCAGACCGCCTCGATGAAAGGCAGCCACATCACTATTTACCAGGATCATTTTTTTAGCACGAGGAGGAGAATGACTAAAAATGTCCGACTCGACCACCAACTCGGTCAAATGCTAAGAGGACACAGTGGCCTCCCTACCAGATCCTCATATTAATACACCAAAGATGTATTAATTTAAATTAATATACGAAAGTACTTGAAGACTTTCCTGTTTCAATTCTTACTCCGTGGTCTGACAGTCACATTTTTCATAACGTGTTAATTTTCGTGATTTACACAATTTCACCAAGTAAAGCATCCAGTACTTCCACAAACATAACATCAATTTTAAATGAACAAATCCACAAGGGCCGTGACGAGGATTCGAACCTACGTCCGAGAGCATCCCAGACGCTGCCTTAATCGACTAAGCTACGACATGGTAATAAAAATTGCAACCAGAAATTCTACTGAATTTACTTGGATCCTGCAGCCTCTCCGAGACACAAACCAGGATTTTACACAATTCCCCCCTGCACTCGAGCTTCTGGCCACTGTGCCAGAAAGCATGCAACATCTGTGTGTGATGTTAAAAAGAAAAATCGTGAAACACAGAAACTGAGGTGTGCAAACTGTCACATGGAGGATGTTCCCGCCTGGCATGAGGACTGTGCCTTACTCCCGCCGAGACGGGCTGCCCAGGGTACCAGTAACCACCCTGGCTCATCTGCGGTGCCACCACCGGTCACTCGGGCATTGTCCTCCCTTACCCAACCACTTCAACGCCACAGCAGGTAACTCGAGTGACACAGTTGTAGTCTCTACCAATGCATGTTGGTCGGTTGGCCCGGATCAGGCACAGACAATTGCAGAGTTGAGGGATACAGTAGAAAAACAAAGCAAAATTGTGGAAAAGCTGAGCATGCAAATAACTGAACAAAGTAAGGAAATCATGCACCAAAAGATGACGATAACCACTCTTCAGGAAACTGTGAGAGTATTAAATGAGAGCAGGCCACACCACCCTGGGGTACCACCATGTGCTCCCAGGCGGCCAGTACCCCTGGGGAGACCCCAGCTGGGGGTGTCCCAGCCCTCACACCAGCTGGACCCACCCACCACGGCTCCCCACACCCCTGCCTCATCAACGCCGTGCGCTAGTCAACTATTTCCCGTGGAAACGCAGTGTTGTCGATGAGTATCACGATGCAACTGATCATGAGCAAAATGACAGCGAGAGTGAGAATGTTAATGAAGATGGAGATCATGATGTGAATACAGGTGCTGATAAACTCTGCTTGAAGGAAAATAGTTGTGGAAATGATGATGAAAGCGATTGTGATAACGATCTAATTGATAATTGAAACCAGTGACGCCTGTAGTGATAATGAAGGAGTGGAACTGGACGTGGATGACATCCTCGGACCGCACGCGACACATCCCAGATGGTTCCGCCGGAACAATATTAAAAAACTGGTGACAGGTGATGTGCTGACCGAAGAGGAAAAAGACACCGTAATAATGTGCTACAAAAAGGATAGAGATATACTTGTTCTTGTGAAACCGCAGACTGATAAACTAAAAACAATGAACAGTGGCGCCCTCTCAAACTTATAAAAACAGGTACAGTGCCATCAAGATACTCAGTTGGAATATTGCCTCTTAGAAAACTGTATTCTGACCTCCATCATAAGGTTATGACTGAAGACATAGATATTGTCTGTCTCCAAGAAACCCTAACTCCCGCAGGTAAAACCCCACAGAATCTGCCTAGTTATCAGTGTTATAATCCCAGATCAAAAAATACGTGTTTCATGTATGTTAAAAAAAAAATCCCTGCCACACGAGCCTCTTCCCGCCCAACAACGAGAGGAGTTTCAATATCATGGTATCCGGCTACACGTTGATAACTCTACACTTAATGTTTTGAATGCCTATGCACCTACTGGCCTCCTCCAGTATACAGACCTACCTAATTTTGCACATGCTGGCCTTACAATATTAATTGGGGATTTAAATGCTGAACACAAACAATTAGGGGATCAACTCACAAACACCAACGGGAGAAGATTGTTGGCACTTCTCGATGCATATAGTGATGGTCAAATTATCAGTAAGAATCAACCAACGCAAATATATGGAGGAGTCCTAGATAGGTGCATTGGCTTTAACCTGTGATACACTACTCATGAGACTGATATTATGGATGACTTAATGTTTGACCATTTAGCCATAACAACTAACGTACACGTGGCTAATGTTGACCTACCTGGCACTAAGCTGAGTAGACGCAGGCTAACAGTAAGAAAAGAGCAAGAAAAATTCTTAATAGACAGCATAGAACATTGATTTAACAATTATGAGCCTGAGAATGTACAACAGTTTTATGATGACCTCGTAAATAAAATCTGAGGCCATCAAAAATAGTGAGTCACACCAAACCAAAAGACGTACCAGTAAGCAGGTCAGACACAACCAGTACTATGATGATGCTAAACTGAAAGAACTTAAATCAATTGCTAGACAGACTGGTAAAGCATTTAAGCGCCTAAGAACTCCTCAAATGTTAAAACTGTGTCAGACGGCGCTTGCAGCGGCAAGGGAGAGAATGACTGAACTCAAACTGAATGGGAGGGTTTTGTTAGTAATAGACAAGCTTCACACCCAAACCCGCTACAGAAAGCCAATCAGTTAATTACAAAATGGGCTCAGGTTTCCAGCTTTGGAATGTTACCAGCTAGCACTAGGGAGAAATTGCAGGCGAGGTCCGCAGATAGAAATGCTCTCATTAATTTCATGTTGAGCAAGCAACATGATGAATGTGATGTTCCATATACAGATTATGAACTGGATGCAACCCTCTCCAGGGGCAGTAGCACTGCTCCTGGTGAGGACTGTATCACTTATGACATTCTAAGACTCCTACATCGTGTACCCGGTAGGGTACATCCCTTCCCTCCACCTCCCTGTCTAGTTTCCTCCTCCCGACCCCTGTGTATCATTCCAGCCTCCCTCTTCCTCTTTTCTCCCACTCCTACCTCCTCTATCTCCAGCATTTCGCCATCTCCCCTTCCCCCACACTCTGCAAGCTTTGTAAATTAATACATTGATAACTGATGGCTTATTTTGTTTCAGATTGCACCTGCGAAAAAGCTATGGGGAGTGGAAGAAGGGAAGACAGACAACAAGGGGATTTTCAACATAGGGGAAGCATCGTGGAGAGAAGCAGCATGGAGCACGGGAACAGGACACGCGACTGGCCCGCACCGTAAGTCTAATATAATTCAAACCAGTATTTGATGGTAAATTTACCTTCAATGATTCATAACCTTTCAGTAGTTATTAGTGGTAGAAATGATTACGGGCATATGTTTGTATTTTACATGCACTTGTTTGGTAATTACACTATGACCTTGTTTAAAAGGGTCGAGGTGTATCAGCCCTTGCATGCTCAAACACAATTGGCCAACTCAATGTTTTCGTGAAACTAAATATTTTGGTTTGCTTCGCCCATTTGAATTGATAAACCGTTTCGTCTACCGACAAAAGTATCCAATGCATATTCCAAACATTTGTAAAGTTTTCACAATTCCCACATTTAGTAGTACTGTACATTACGTAGATATCAACATGTAAAGAACATTTCAAATGAAATCAAATAACACTATTAATACCTATAGAAGGACAAAATATTGTGTTTCAAAGATCCTAGAGTAATCATGTTGACAGTTTTTTTTTATTAATACATGAGGTACATCTGCATTAGTGCAGCCACCCTAGACTATATGAAGTAGAATACAGTGTGTCAATGGATAACAAGAACCTTTCACGCTAGAGATACCGGACCATTGACGCTTAAATGACCTCCTGTCTTCCTCTCCTCCCTCCGCCTCCCTCCTCCCCCTCCTCCTCCTCCCCCTCTCTCCTCCTCCTCCTCTCTCCTACATACTTGATGTAATATACTACCAACCATGTACAGTACTTTAGGATGTTTAAACTGCACATTATAGTGATTTGAAGAGGACTCTGTGCATGTCACATTTTTCCATATTATTGGCGACGACACAAGTCTAGTACTGTATGCTGTAGTTACCCAAGTTATGACTAACCCTCCTCCACCTCTGCACTTACACTCATTCATGTATCAATAGTTATTAAATTTGGAGTTGGGTCTGTAAATTTGAATTAAATATATTTGGTTTATATATAAGTTATTGGATTTAATCTCGGCACCTTAGTTCATTAACGAGTTTTAAGATAACTTTTTCAGTTACCAGTACTCAAGTCTCGTGGTGACGTGTAAACAGCTGACAAACTCTGGAGAAAGAAGTGCATCATGTCATACCTTTATCATTTCAGAACAGAGGACGAACCCTCATTGCTGTTTATTATTACTGTGTATAAATTTATCATTCAATTATTTATGCTTAACGGTGGAAAAGATTTCTCCCATAAACCTTATCGCTTCCCACTAGTAATAAGTTATTCCATGTATAGATTATTCCTGCTCTTGTTTTTTCCTTCCAGAAACTATTTTGAATGTCTTAGAGGCAACCCATGGAGTCTAGGGGCTTTTCTGATTATAAGGGAAGAGTGATTTTCCTCCTAGTGTATCCTGTGTTTTTGTTCAGTATTTTTTTTAAATTGTCTTGTTTTGACTTTAAAAAAAAATCTAGAGTGCAGGGCAGCATTCTAGATAAGAGACCTGTACATTTATCTGATCTAGATAAGAGTACCTGTGCATTTATCTGTTGCTCTGAATGTTTTATTTAATTCACTCTCTAACAATTTTATTGTGCATGGTTTTAAAATGTGAATAATTATGTAAGTTTTTATTAAGAGTGACCCGAGTTTATTATGTTGCAGATCATGGTGTGGGCCAGAGTCACGGGTTAAGTATGGGCGTGGGTCAGCGGGGACACGGACGGCCACAGTTTGCTGGGGGAGACTCTGTATTATCACCACGTGCCACAGACCATGCTGGAGTGGGACTCAAGATGGTTGAGTATGTCCTGGCTTCCTCACCCACTGGAAAGGACCTTGATGCTCGCATGGCAAACCTTGCCCTTAGAGTGAGTAGTAATTAGTATCATCACATTAAGTTGCTCTTTTATTTTGCAATGTATTAATGCCATTTATGTGGACTTCAAAATGCTGAATTTGACTAAAAGTTTGAACAATGTTATATCTTTTGCAGAACGGAGGTGGAGATAGTACCAAGGACAAGAAAGACAAGGCTCCCTCACCGTTTGATCCCACAAAAAAAGATGTAGAGAATGGTAACACCCCTCAGGCTAATGGTATTGTACAGAACGGCCTCGATGATGACAAAACATTTAAGTGAGTATAATACACATTTAATAAATGTTGGATTGTAATGTATTGGCTTTTTCACTCGACAGGTTTGTAACTTGCTGCACTGTAGTCACTATAGGCTGCAATTAACCTGCAAAGCAGCACTGATTTTTCCTTAGAAGTTAGGAAATACATATAGAGGTGTGCATAGCATATAAGAGGCAGGTATACTTTGTATTTGTAGTGATGGGATGAGTGCTGTGCTTGTTATGAAAAACTTCTGTAGGTAGTAATGTACTCATTTCTTCAAAATCCATCTTTCCTCCAAAATTTTTATTTTTACCCCTCTAGTTCTTACCATAAGCCTATACCTTTATCAACAATTCAAGTTTTATTGGAAAAAATTAGACTTTAAATGTGTGCAAAATACATAGCCCCATCATAGTGAACATATATAATGTAGATTATTAAAAGTAATAGGTATTGTGTATGGCCACTGGTACACATTTTGATGAGAAATTTACGATGTCAAAATTTATCCCTCTCCCTCCTATTTTTGAATTCAAGGAATTCCATATTAGATTTTATTAATTTTCAAATATTATTTCCACACAATTCACATTATTACCTCCTCTACAGACAAAATACAAAATAAATGTGCAGGACCTTATTGTAATTATATGTACACTCTAAAAAATACTGGAATTTAAGATCAATATCAAATTTATTGTGGATAATCCAGCAGGATAATGATTTACGTTGACAGTAGAAGCAAGTCTTGATGCTATGTTCTTGTTTCAATACAAATACATAATGGAAATTTGCTTCATAAGAGTCCTTGAAGATTTCATTCTAAAGGTTTTATATCTCCTTCAATTTACTCTTGAATCTGTGAAAGTTCCATAACCTTTTCACAGTGGCCTGATACCAGATGTAGTTTATCTTGATTTTACAAGAGAGAAATCTGAAATATGTTTGTTTCACTCATAGCCTTTTGCTCTCTTGCTTTCTTTCTTGAATTTTATGATTCTTGTAGCTTTAGTTCAATCATTAATATTTCTCTACCTAGCCGCCTTTGTCGTTCTTGAGATAGGGTGTGACTCTCAAGTTGTTCCGAAATTCGTTTTCTTCGCCTATAGAAGGAACTCCATTCCCGTTCCAATCTGCATCTCCCATTTTTTTTTCTCCTCTCGCTAAGGGTTATGCAGTTTGAGCATTTCTAGTGCTGTTGAACTATTTTTTTTGCAGGCACTGGTTCAGGTTTATAATTTCTAGCTGTTCTTTCCAGCTTATTTCTGTAAGGTCTTGGTTTATTTGCTCCCAGTTAATCTATTTATTATTAAAATTGAATTTGCTGAATTCTCCTCCCCTGGGGCTCGGGACTGGTTATGCAGGTCTACTTACTCCCCATGCTTGTCAGAACTTCAATTAAGTTATCCGAGTAGCAGGTATTTGTAATCATTGTTAGTGAAAATGAGGTCCAGTGTGTTCTTTTCTAGTTGCTTCTATTTGCTGGGTTTAAGGCAAATCTCACACATTCGTAGTTGGTTATTTGGATGTGACTGTTCATATAGGTTACTTCCTGGTATTCTCACTGATATAACTGTATTGGCTAGGTTTTTCCATTTCAGGTGCCATAGATTGAAGTCCTCAAGCAGGGTGTTGATTTGGGCTGTATTTGTGAGGTTTTCTAAGCCGTGTTCTATTTTCATTAGTTGGTCTTTAAACTGCTGAGGATTTGCCTTGGGTGACTTGTATGCAAGGACAGTAACTACATTTATTATCTCTCTTTTGATTATCAGCTCTTCCGCCATATTGTTTGTGGTGTTTAGCAGCTCAATGGAGACGAGTGTCTCTTTGATGTACAGTTGGACCCCGCCCTGTTGCCTGTGTTTACTGTTACATCTGAAACGATTGTACAGTACTATGAAATCCATATATCACCATCATAGTAGTCCTTTGTGGGGGTTTCTGTTACTGTTGCAAACACTTCATTTGCCTGATGTTGGAGGCCAGCTTGAGTTAAACAGAGGCTACAGTTAAGGATTTGTGCCCAGTAGATCCTACCCGGCCAGGATATGAACCCAGGACAAAGCGCTCGCGAAACGCCAGGCGAGCGTCTTAACCACTACACCACGGGGACTGCACAATGTTATCGTGTTAACCAATCAACCGTCCCTCTGGATATCTGACCCTTGTGTTCCATTAGGGTAACAGTACTTGGTATTTCATATTAGAACACAACCTAAGGCACAAACAAATCACATTAACGTGATGCTGTTACCATGTCGTGCTGAAGTGGTGCAAAGCGTGTGCTTGGGAATACCCTTAGTGTAGGTTTTAATCCTTCTCATGGCTCCTATTGATTTTCTCACAAGAAACTAATGAAATAATCATATAGGAATAGTTTAGAAATGAGCTTCATATGCTGCTACATTTATTTTTTATATATTGAAAGATAATTTATTAGAATATGTCAATTCATAATTTATTAATAAGTTTAAAATTTCAGTTCAGTATTTATTGCACTGCAATACTGCAGAGAATTCTGGTACAAAGTTTTTTTTTTTTTTTTTACTACACCAATTTTGCAGCCGTTTTTTGTTTTAAGACTGCTACACTATATATATCTTGTAAAGGGTTCTGCTATTTTACTGCATTACTGCATAGAATTGGTTCACAAAGTAAATATGTATATAGGATTGCGAGGCTTCAATGTCTCTTCTTCTAGGAGAGAAAGGAGGAGGATATTAGTTATCTAGCCAGGCCTCCTAGTTGGTGGTCTGGTTAACCTTAACATCGAAGTTTTTCTAGATACATTCCTGGCTTGTTTAGTGGTTAAGTTTGTATTACTGCCCTTGTCCTGGTCTCCTCATTTTTAAAAATCATGTTTGTATATGCATTGTTGATACTTCAGTATTTGTAATGTAGTGATGTCCCTATTCAGAACTGAACTACCAGTATATAAAATAGTAAGATTGGTTTCTTACCCATTCACGTGGTTTAATTTTCCAGTGACTAGCCAATGGTAACTCTCTTAATTCGAGCTTTCTTCCTTAAGGTGGTATGGGTTCCACTCTGGCACTAGACACTCGGATATTAGTGCTGTGTTTGTGGTGTATAGTATTCTGAATGATTTCTTGTTTTATGAAGGGTGTTAGCATAGCCCTGATAACTTCTCCTTCATGAGTGCTTCTCATCATTGTGGTGATCAATGTCCCCGTGACCAGGTTTCTAACCAGGACTTCTGTTTGGAGATTTGGTCAGTCAGGCTGATAAACACTTTGCTAACAGTCTTAAACATTAATTTCAGCCTAGGTGATTAGGTACCTTATGGAGATGTTACTCCAGGACGTTCATCATCACATTATCTATTCACACTCGAGCTCTTCTTAAAACAACCCGCTCCCCCCTCTCCTTTTATATAGATCATCTTTCTTTTATTTACTAGTTGTCTGCTTCTACCTTATGTTCCTTTTAGTTCACTCCTGTGTTCCCTTGTTAAATGACAACCAGACATTCTTCTAACATGTCCATATCAACATCACTTAATTATCTTGTTTCCTTCGGTAGGTTGGGTGTGGTGTCTTATCTCGGGTCATTTAGGTAGCATCTTACGCTATCATCACAGCTTTGTTTTCCTTTCATTTATTTTTCTCGTAGGGTAACATCATGGCATGAATTTGGTATTAAATAAATAGGTAAACTGCCATATTGTTGAGAATGTATATGCACTTTTAAACAGAAAAATAGGGTTAAGTGAATTAAGATACAAAAGTATACAACAAATTATATACCAGTTACTAAAATGTGCTATGAAAATCTAATAAGCCTGTATTGTACTAACAAATGACATCAATTTTGTCTATTTTAGCCCTGTCATATATAGAAACTTTTTCTCATCATGTACATTATAAAAGATAGTTGTATTCACCTGTTTGTGCTCTCCTGGGTTTAACTTCGGCTCATTTGTCCTGCCTCTCGACTGTCAATCAGCTGGTGGACAGGTTCCTGAGCCTATTGGGTTCTTATCTTGCCTATATTTTAAACTATGTATGGAGTCTGTTGTGTACCTTGTTAGTAGATTAAAGTTGATATGACTAGGAAAACAAAATAGATATTTCAGCAGGAACCTATTAGAAATTAATAGACGTGCTTAATGAAAGTAGTGTGTTGCAATCCCACAGCCGGACGCCGGGGAGTAGACAAGGATCGCCATCAGAAGAAGATATCAACAAGAATGGCATGGTTCAAGGCGTGGGCGTCAAGGAGCCTGAGCTGGTGGGTGGTGGCGTGGTAATGGGTGGCCCCGGCACACAAGTTCTAGGGCATCTTGATCATCCTGGTTTTGATGGTGTGGGTAGTGGAGCGGTGGGTGGAATGGGTGGCCCTGCAGGTATGTTAGATCCTAGCATGGGTGGAGCGGGTGGCCCCTTCTCCTCTCCTGCTGGACCTGATTACAGCAATATGGCCACCAGTATGCCCATGGACTCACCCACCCTCCTGCCTGCCCCAGGGGGACCTCAGCCACAAAACTTTACCGACAGTCAGGTGAGTACCACTTTTTGGTTCAGAATTTAATCTTGTATTTACTTGGCAAGTAGGGTATGATCCATCTTATTGGAACGTGTTCCTGAAGAGTCCATGTAGAATCAAGCCATGTACTGTAATATATTGTTAAGAATGTTATTGGAAACCCAAATGCATTTTGTGAACTAAAAATGTATGAGAAATAAATTGACACAATAAAGCAACACAATAAACTTGCTGCTTTAAAATATAAAATAATTTGTGTAAAAGGAATGTGTAAGACCAGACCCAAGCACGGGACAAATAACCACCCAGAGTCATTTTCACTATTCCACATAGTCATTAGCCTCGATAAAACACCTTTATGAGCATTAATTACTTTGTACTCCCTGTACTTCAATCACAAATATACTTACCTTCCAGGGCTTAGCGTCCCTGCGGCCCAATCGTCGACCAGGCCTCCTGGTTGCTGGACTGATCAACCAGGCTGTTGGACGCGGCTACTCGCAGCCTGACGTATGAGTCACAGCCTGGTTGATCAGGTATCCTTTGGAGGTGCTTATCCAGTTCTCTTGAACACTGTGAAGGGTCTGCCAGTTATGCCCCTTATGTGTGTACTTGAAAAATGTTTACAATGAAATCACTAGAACATACTGTATCTTAGATTGTGATACTAGATGGTGCCTTAAAAACATGTAAGGTCTCTTTCATGTTGTTTACAACATCTTGATCTCTGCCTGTCTGATCTGGCATTCAGACAAAATGCTGATGAGTGCACCATCACAAAGCATGCACTATTTTGGGGGGGTGCATTGCAGTCCTTGCAGTTGAGATTGAGGGAACAAATGCTCCACTTTTCTTCTAGCATTATACACTTCTGGATGTAGCAGTCATATCTGAAGCACTTTTAGCATTGCCATAGTTGGAAGGACCTCTCCTTCATTATTTGTTTCGGTAGTGTGGATATGCCAAAGTACCCGAATCCATTGTCTTCAGCTTCTTCAACAACAGTTGAAGGTTAGCTTCATTGTCAGTTCCTTGTTGTCTTCGTTTGCAATGATTTGTACTGAAGCTGTAGTTAGTGCAGGGTTTTAGGCATTGATGCTATCGATGATGTTGACAGTAGGCCGGTCAGAAATCCAGATGCTGGTGTGCCTAACAAAGGTGGTCCTTTCTGCCAGGTATCGTCGTGTTGGAAGTAATACTAAGTTGGCTTCATTTAGGGGGGTTCAGGATTGAACAGCCTTTGAAGTGCTTCCTCACAAGAGAATAGGAGTTGGGATCTATTGCCATCTTTTTTTTGTCAATCAATGCAATTTCAGTGATGCTGCCAAGAATGCCGAGTATTTCTGACCTGGTGAAAGTGTGGATTCCTCAGAACTGCATTTTAATCTTGTGAATCATGGTACCTGTTGATTTGTACCATAAGTGAGGGCTAAAGCTAGAGCAATTCAGCTGCTACCCCCCCCCCTCAACAGGCTGCAGTAGCAGTGGAGGAATGCATTATCTGGCACACTTACCTCGCTCTTCAGAACTAGAATTTCTTCAGGCAAACTCTTCTGAAACGGACATGTTTCATTACTGTTATAGATTTGATATTGATATAGATTGTTAGAAAATTGTGTGTTAATTTATTTTTGAATGGCTTAACACTGCTTGTATCTGCATTCAATTTTTCACCAACAATATTCCTTTTCCCAATATTCCTCACTTTAAATCTGGCAATCTAAAAATCACTTGCCCCTGAACTGATAATCCAAGGCTGGTTGCCACCACATTGCTGCATTTCTTTTTTTCACTGCAAGTTGTCATAATTACTGTACATTCTGTGCAGGCTACAAGGTTTTCCCATTACAACCTCTAGTAGTGCTTGCTACCTCACTCTCACTCGTAGATACAGTATCATGTACAGTATTTATTGTTGCATTTCCTTATACAGTATCAGTTACTGTGCTCATTCCTATACCAAAATCCTTGGTGACAACAGCAGACAGACAATTTTCACACTTTTCCATCACATGTAACTTATCTTTAATGGATAGGGTAACTTGGCATCCTTTTGACATCTCCACACTATTTACTGCTGCTGCCAGATGTGGTCTTAAGAAAATGAATAAAGTTTAATATTGGCTTTGGGTTTGGTTTGATATCAACCCCCAGTTATCTATACCTGACTCTTGAAGGATTTCATCTTCCATTTGGTACCTTTTAGCAAGCCTTCTGCTCCTTACACCCAGTTTCATTACTTTGCACTTATTTGAGTTTAACTGTAACACCCATTTATTGTATCTATTGTACAGGTTGTTTTGAAATCCTTTGCTCTCTTCCTGTCTTAATCCTCATAATTTTTGCAGCATCACCAAACATTGAGAGGAGTGAGTATATTCCCTTTTAAAGATCATTTACATGTTAAATATCAGAAATTGGATAAGTGAGTACTGAATCAAATGGGTCACCCGTCAATAACATGCTGTTTTCTGTTGTCTAGGTACTTTATCTACCGGAGTACTGTCCGTTCAATCCTTCCCGCTTCTCCTACTTAAGCACTAGTCTCATATGGCGGTACTGTGTCAAAGGCTTTCTGACAGTAAAAAAAAATATGCAGTTTGCCTACCCTTTTCTATTTCCTCATTCTTTGGTTGCCTTGCCACATCTTTCTATTAAACTTGCAAGACAAGGTTTACCATATCTGAATCCATGCTGGTTGGGTTACAAAAGTCCCTTCTCATCAAATATGCTACTAATGCTTTTCTTGCATTATTCTCCTTCACCTTGCATGGTATTCAAGTTGGGTAATTCAATGTCTCCTGTCTTTCATTCTTCTTTCATCTTTCTGGTAGGTCTCCTGTTTTCAGTTACCTATTACACACCATAGTGTATGAAGTGATGCAGTGCTTCTGCTCCTTCTTTTAATATACATGGTGAGATTGTCTGGGCCTACAGCCTTTATGTCCAGTTCCTGCAGATGCCTTCATACTTTGTCTCTGGTAATCTACAATTTCTCCAATGCTGCTTGGTTTAACAGCACAACCACCTTAGTTCAGGCAATTCATGCTATATTGTGTGGACCTCTTGGAATCTCTTATCGACTTCCTCTCTCGCCTTGTCATTCTCTGTAAGCATATGTTCTCCTTTTCACAGTTTCATAATCTGTCCCTTCTGTTGTTTTCCTCTTAATATGGCTATGAAGCTATTTGGGTTGTTTTTGCATTATTTTGTTTTCAAGCTCTGCTTCTCTTCTCACACTGAAGTTCTCACTCCTGGTCCTCTGGTATCTACTGCTCTCTGGGGTTCTGTTATTTTTGTAGTTTCTCAATGTCCTTATACATAATTGCTTTGCTTCCTAACATTCCTGATTGAACCATGGATTCATCTTTTGCTTTGAATTTAGTTTTCTTTTTAAACCAGAACAAATTTCTCTATGGCTTCCTGACACTTCTGAGACATGGGCAACTCGTAAATCATGTCGTGTGCAGCTGTTTATCCAGGATCTGTTTCCCATGGTATTCCCATCAAGAATTTTCTCATTACTTGACAGGTTTCCACTAAAGTATGTTAGCCTTTTGCTTTCTGGTCTCTTCCTCGAGTAGGTTATTTCTCCTTTCACAAATACTAAAATGCCAAGTCACAGTGGTCAATTTTTCAGTATCAGATTAGTAGACAAATGAAATGCATTAGGAAGTGATGTGGAGGCAGACTTCATACAGTTTCAAGTGTAGATATGATAGACCCAATAGGCTCAGGAACCTGTACACCATTTGATTCACAGTTCAGAGGTGGGACCAAAGAGTCAGAGCTCAACCCCTGCAAGCAGAACTAGGTAAATACAACTAGGTAAGTACAGGGTGGACAAAGACAAAATATTTAGCATGGGTGGAACAGTAAGAAGGGAACACAGGTGGACACTTGGTATCCAAATGAGCCATAGAAACATTATAATCTTTTTTTTTCAGTGTCAGGGTAGTTAAATGGACTGCATTAAGCAGGTACAGTATATGGTGGAGGCAGACTCCATACACATTTTAAAATGTAGATATGATACATTCCCGAGCTCAGTAGGCTCAGGAACCTGTACACCAGTTGATTGATAGTTAAAGAGGCAAAACCAAAGAGCCAAAGCTCAATCCCCGCAAGTACAACTAGGCGAGTACAGACAAATCACAATCCGTATCAGTTTGGTTTGCCGATAAAAGTGACATTTTATACCCCCCCCCCCCCGAGTATTAATTCCCTAGTGACAAGTGATGCTTTGTAATAAAACATTTTCTATTGCTAATGATGCATAGTTTCATATATTGTGAACGAAAGCCTTTATCATATATTAAGTTAGTTACATTTGCCTAGCAGTTGTATCGTAATTACATAAAATTTCTCAATTTCGAGTTGGGGGGGAAGGGGGGTTGAAGGAATTACGATTTGGTGCAGTTTGCCATCATTACCGCACGAGAGGACGGAGTGTAGACAGGAATTAGAGAAAACGAGAATTTCTGGGCTCGGCGGCAACTGAAAGATTTGTTTTTAACAAATCCTCGTTCAATCTTCACATAAGAATAATTCAATTACATTAATGAAAATGTTATGAAATTAGGTTTAATATTACACTTGTTAGCGGTGATCGTAACCTAATAGCGTTTTCCTCTTGTTTGTATTAAGGCAATTGCATGGTTTTTCTGTTAATGCTTCATTATAGGCACCGCGAGTGCTGGCATTACTGCGTTGAAGCTCGATACCCGTTCCTTTGTTTATAAAGCAAAGTATATAGTTTTTAATTTCAATATAGAGTTCCACATCTTTAATTTAATGACTATACAATTAAAAGAAAACTTGGTCACTGGATTGCTAGATGTGGGCAGGAATTTAAGGGTTTCTTGACTTCCTCATTTCGAGGAGGAGTTAGCGGGTTGTATCATACAGGCGGGTATCATTCTAAGCTCCAATCATTGGGGCATCACATAGAGAACAGTCTATCCTCACTTGGGTTCAACTCTTATCACAGATAACGGTTCAGGAAATGGGAGAGT